ATCACTGGGCGAGTGTGCTTCTTTGCACCTTTCAGGTCAAATTACTCTGGAAAACGTTTACTTTGTAAGAACACCTTGCCATGTATACGGTTGGTAGCTCTGAAATTTCAGATAATTGAACAAGTGTTGAACGGCGAGCAGCGCTCACCTACGAAGGTAATTTGTTTAACAAAATTTTTATTATTTCTTAAGCTAGTATTTGGACTGCATGTATTTTTGAATGGATCCTGCTACCTTGGCCGCCTTTACCTCCTGAAACAACGCACAGAACTCTTTCGACTACTTTTATAGTCCCAGTGTCGACTTTAATTAGACTTTACTGGAGACGTAGAGCATAGAATTGACAGGATGATTGCTTAGGTTCTTTGATTTTCTTTTTCAAGGTAGGCACATCCTTCCCGAACCCCCATTATTTTGGCGCCTTTTCAGAATTCGGTTTAATTCGGTACGCCATTTAGCTACAGGTGTCATTCCCATATAGTCTGAACATCCGTTCAAAATTCATCTTTCCAATCAGCTTTACCACTTTTCAACAATTTAATGAACATCAACTGACTGTTAAGGTCCCCGATTTTTCAGACTGTTTTCTGCTGAAATGCACTTCCTGCACCAGAAGTGGCACAGATTTTGCAGAGTTTCAAAGTATTCCGTCTATCTCTGGAATATGTGTACTTCGCGATTAAGAAAGTTTCCCTTCGAACTTTTGAGAGCTCTGGCCGCACCTGCTCTTGATACTCGCAGCAGCCGCAACGGATAGTTTGTTACAAGGCTGTTTGCCGATCTGCATGTATGATTCAGCTTTTTTAGAAAAAAAATTCTCAAATGCTTACCTTTTTGAAATGTAATCTCCGGAGCTACAGTGATGGAGCGGACTGGCATTCTTTTTCGTACCTTTTGAGTCATATCTTGCTGTAAGAATTATATTTACTACCATTCCCACGAAATGGTTGAATATGACCTTTGTATCAGTTACACAGAAAAGTATGCTGCTTTTCTTTGCCAAATCATCTACTTCTGAACGAATGATGGAGGCCTCTATACACTGTGTCAATCAGGGTACCTGATGAATCAGATGACACTGGAAAGAAATCGATACTGTTGATCATACTACTTTTCCATAAGGTGTGAGCTAGATGCATGAAATCATGCATTATTTTATCAAGCCTCGGAACTCGGTAGCACTTATTGAGTGTGTTTGTTATTCATTTCAATAACGTTAGCATTTTCTAGCTGTTTAAAGAACTGGACCTGAAGTCTCTTGACGATCCGGCTGCTGTCGAACACGTCTGTGACGAAGTTTTAGCGAGCGACCCAAAAGCAGTGCGTTTTTATAATTGAATTATTTGCATATATTACTGATTATAATAATAGTATAGTATCCGATGCTACGGTAGATCACAAAGTAAGTCGGAAAGACAACGCATAAAACGTTCTTTAATTAGGGCCATCCGACGTTTCGGACCAAGCTCGGTCCGTCTTAGAGTACAGTGGTAAAGGCGCGTAATGTCTGTCCCAAGGTCATGATTGTTGCAGTTCATTGTGCGGATCAGTAACGGTTCCTTGACTTTGCGCAAAAGATATGGTTGTTCTCGCGCGATACCTTTCATTCTGTCCCACGATATGGGTAACAGCATGTTCCACAATGGCAGAATTTTTCTCGCATTCTGCCTTTATAAATTCAGATTTTTTTCCTGTCTCCGACCTCTGTCGACTTGCTGTTGAGCCCTTTCTCTAGCATCAGCGTTCTTCCACCTGATCAAATTCCTCATGTGTCTGCCTTCCTTTCCTCAACAGTGTTACCCGTTTCGCCTATGTAAACCGAAACGCAGGAGCACGGGATTGGTTGGCATACGCAACTGGCTTTCTGCTCCTTAAGTTTCTGGGTCTTGAGGTGGCTACGTAAAATTGCACCAGTTTTGAATACCAGGTTGAGTCCGAACGCAGGTCAGTACGTCGCAGCTTTTCACTCAGTTGGCAATGTAACCAATGTTTTGTTATCAGGTGAGCAGGAAGAGGTTTTTCATTTTGATGAATTTGCCAAGCCTTCGTTAAGTCTTCATAGGCTAACCTTTCTTTTATGTCTTTGCCGCAAAGTCAAGGAAGCGTTATTGATCCGCGCAACCAGCTGCATCAATCGTGACCTTGGAGCATTCGTCAATGACACGTGAACCGCAAACATCAGTAGACCGCTCAAGACCAGAAAGCAAACGCGGCACCATTAATCATGCGGGTGAACCAGACCCGCATAAAAACATCACATGCCTTTTTCATTGTACTCTGAAGACGAACCGAGCTTGGTGCGAAACTGCAGATGGCCTTAGTTAAAGAATGTTTCATGCGTTGTTTTCCTTTTTGACTTACCAAAGCATCACATCATCTCCCCCATAAAGAAATCATGTACCTTATTGAGTATAGTATCTAGCAAAAATATATATTATACATATTTTGTTCGTCTTGAATTCTTTGTACGTGAAACTACTTTATAGGTCAAAGATTACAAAAGGGGGGTGCATAAGATAATGAAAAAGTTCGTGCACATGGCACTACAGCAGCTGCGGCGTCGCGTACCTGCTGCCATATTGAAGGAAATTTTTGAACGAAAACTGTCGCAGTGACGCTGGTAGCAATGAACTGCTAATCTCTGGCGAATCGTTTCCTCTGGAATGACTTCCTGAAGCATCTGGAGTCACCACAGAACATTGTGCAGATCTTGATAATATTTTTACAAGAGTTGAATTTAAATTATCATGCTTATAAAAAATTTCTGAATGTTTTTTTCGCTATGCAAATAATGGCTTGCAAATATTATTACAAACGGTCGTTTTGGAATCGATTGTACAACTCAGCGCTGAATATCGTTGTGCAGTCTCGAGACCAGCTTAGAATTGCGCGCGATGGTGACGTTCTTTTTAACCAAACTTTTTGATTTGATTGTATGGAAGTCTCTTGCTTTGAGATATAAATTTTGATACACAAAATTTATTTGACACAGGTGTAGTGGAAACTCAAATTTTTGATATTTATATTAAACATTATTTCATAGCGCCACCAAAGTTCAATGACGTTGGATGTCTGCATCATGGAGTCTCTAAATCTTCACGAATCTCCATTTTTTCTGGATAGGATTTTTTCTCGTGAACACGGATCTGCACAAGGGAATGAACAACTGCCTTGTAGTCTTGTAGTCCATGATGTTACGGTGAGCACGGCGATGTTTTCACTTCGCCCCAGTGTCCGATATTTTTGCAACGAAGACTTCTATTGCTTCTTTCGTGGAAGACTGTTTTGGTCAGTTTTCATTTTGCAGATTTCTGTCAGCACTGCAGTGACTGGTTGATAGGCCGGGCTCCACGAAGCCGAGGGCTTTAAGTTCTCTACTTCTGTCAATCTTTCGATAAGCTGAGGTTGGAAGGCGAGATTAGAGTACGCGCATTTCATGTCATTTCCTGACATTCGAATATCATCGTGACTATCTGCCAGGAATTCACCTACTTTGGAATACAAAAGTTCTT